AGTCAGCTGGTTGCAGAACTTTACGCTGTGTGTAAATATCTTTACGACAGCCGAGTTGCTTGAATAAAGTAGAAGTTTGGGCTAGTTGGTATTTCATGATTAAAGATTAAAACAGCGCAAGGACACGGACAAGAACAAGAAGGTAGACAAACAAGGCGCTGAGCCTTGTTTGTCTACCTTCTTGTTCTGGTCTGTGTCCTTGCGCTGTTTTAATCTTTAGTTGCTTGAAGTTATCGCAAATAAAAACTACAGGTTACAGCAACCTACGTTTATAGATAAATGTTGGTAGTGACTGCACTCTCACATTCCCACCCATCACGTCAAACAGAAAGGCGCTAGCTCCGGTTTGAGGTCAGTACTCTTTCTACAACATAGATGGCGGCAGCATCAGTCATTTGCCACATCAACTTGCCACATCAACTTGCCAAATGCACTCAGTGCATTTGGCAAGTTTGTTCGAGGCCAGTTCTCCGTGCAACACTCTGCGAGTGTGATGCATTCTGGGAGAGAACTCGAACGGTGCCAGGGCACGTGGAACGGACTCGCTATAAGATAAACACGCACTATCGGTAAGATTGAAATGCAAACAGCCAAGTGCATGGCAGGATGAACGGAGCTCAACCCTTACATCACCTAGCCAAAGCTTAAAAAAAAAAGGTAGTGACTATTTCGACGTATTTTGAATATTTTGTTGTCCGTGATGCCACTTCCTGAAGGTGTGAAAATAGAGGTTTGAAAGTATCTTGACGTCTCCCCACAAAATATTTTTGTCATTATTTTGATGTCTCAACTTTGGAGCTGCAAAGTCCGGACTGGGGAGCGATCGAAAGTGGCAGTAAAAAAATACCGTATTGCTTGCAGGCAGCATTGCAGTTCAACACATATTTTCTGAAAACAAATGTTATGCAGTCGGCTGCTGTTTTTAGGACCTTTGAAGTGATGTGGAACGCATAAAAAACTGCTCAAACTACATCAGCTATCAGGCCACACATAACGTTTGCTTGGCTGTGCCCAACATTACAGAATGCGGCACTGCTGCTTTTCATGATTTGTTTTACATGCTTTATGTAGACAAAGGAGCTGAATGGCATGTCAAAAATTTGCAGTTGATTGGAAAATGCATGTATCTCCTACAACCACACCAGAACCTTTTTTCGTTTGCACCGGTCAAAAAACATAAAGGAAGCAATCTTTGCGTTCACCTTTTATTTAACATCCTGGCCGTTTCGTAGTTAACCCGCTCATCATACACAAACCAAACAAAAGATCTAAACAAACAAACTCACGAAACACGGTTAAAAACGGGGCGGGAGCCAGATATCTCATTACAAAAATGTTAATGTAAACACCGCTTCATGACGGCTGACCATTCCCTAAAGTGTCTTTCGACGAAAAGTCGGCGTTTGCTAAAACGTTGTTTGACCAAGTGAGTGCCACCCAACTCCAACCATACGAAGAGGTGCTCGCAAGATATGAAGGCACAAAAGCATGCCAAATTTCTCAGTGTTACATAGTGTAAGCACTTAAATTTGTTACGTGTAGTCAAGACAGAGAAATATCGAGCTTACCTTTGTTGTAGATTCAGAATTTTAAGTGAGACGCGTGCTGAGATGACATGCGAGCTCAGAACACTTAGAACATCGCCAATGGGTGTGTCACATTCGAAAGGAACAACAGTTAAGCCAGTCCCACACACACGTTGCAAGACATTTCCACTGACAACTAGGACCGTACGCATGAATCCGTCAAAACGCCAACACAACACTGACATCATCATCATCGTCAGAAACTAAACAGACTGAAACCACAAAACGGCTACCACTGCGACGGCTGCATGGAAGGAGGACATAGAAATAATAAGGCCATAAGGCCACTATTTTTACGTGTTACGGAAGTTACGTCACCGACGTCGAAATAATTTTTTGAATATTTTGACGTTGGACATCAAAATGGTCACTGCCTAATGAAAAGTAAGGTTAAGCCTTTTAACACTATTTGTGACTCCAGTGACCTATATCGAGTTCGCCACTTTCGACAGAGATGACTACCTTGTGTTCTACTACATTGATTAACGTTGATGAACGCACAATATATTGTGCATGCAGTTCCGTAGGTTGCGTTTAGCGTTTACCGGCGACTTCCTTTATACATTCCAGGAACGATCCCGTATGCATCCGTCAGCTGAAGGCGAGTGGATATACGTGCATCAACGTGCTCGCAGTCGTTACCTATGACGGCCTCGGACCCCTCATCCGATCTGACGAAAGCATCACGCCGGAACAATACGTGGACATCCTCAATCGCACCCTCATGCCGTACTTCCTAGACGGTCCGTTTCCCGATCGCGGATTTCTCCTGCAGCACGACCCCACTCCGACGTACACCTCGGACGAGGTCCTCGGTTGCATCGAGGCGAACAGAGTTCACGCATTGAGCTGGCCTCCGAAGAGCGAGGACCTCAATCCAATCCAGAGCATCTGGAGTTGCATGAAGCTGCGCATCTGCAAACACCGGCTCGACGAACCGTGCCCCGACAAGCTCTGGGACGTGGTCAAGCACCACTGGGATCTGCTGACCAAGCATACAAAAATCGTCACAAAGCTGTACTCGTCCATTCCGAACAGGCTTCGAGATGTCATCAGGCTCAAGGGAGGCGCGTTCTGAGGGCACGGCTCTGCAGACACTTTCTTTCCTCTGTTACTGTCTCATCAGTTAAAAGCACCATTAATAATCATAGTGGGGATGACCATACTTGTGAATCATTGAATTAATATTTATAACGCTCCCGTGCAGTTATCAATTACGATATGTTGTTTCACAAACAAATTTAGCTATGTCAAAAATGCTCCTTGAATCATAGGGTGCTAGTTTGATTCAAGATACGGTACATTTGGCAGCGATCAAAAAGACGCTTTAGCTATAGGCCAGTTGCAGAAATCCCGAATAGGCCGCACGCCAACTGCGCAAGAACTGGCTCATATTCGTACGGCCTATTTATTTAATTGTGTCACATGATGCAGTTGGCAGCAGAAATGACAGAAAAAAAACGAGAAGGGAGCACAGATTAGTCTTAATGGCCACCAGATCCTGTGGATGGGGCTAGGTGCACAATGACCTTGCACGCAGCCGCTGAAGCATTGTCACGTTCACATTCCTGACAAGAGAACGTCCAGAAGCGTGGGCAATGAAGGCGTGGTAGCTTTAGTCGTTGCCTTTCCTTTTCTAAGGGTTTACAAAGAATAAACCTTAGCTTTGTGAGGGAATTACCGCAAAATACAGAGTGTCCACCCGTTCCACAATAAATGTCCACCCCACAATTTTGTAACATTTGGAAAATACTTTAAGAACATATCTTTACATATTGTAGCTCAGGTGTGCCTGTCCCCCAGTTTTACGTGATTATCTCCCAAGTTTTGAGTGGGCGCTTCTCAGAAGTTTACGGCAAGTCTAAATTTAAATGCGATAGCTGCCGACCAGGTATGTTAGTCGAGACAGGGCATCTGAGGGATCTATCTCTGAAGCGAGTTTTTTCGATTACTGAACACTCCATTTTTAGTTCTGCAGCCACACTTTGACGTGCCAGAACCTTACGAGAAGGAAGGACAAAAGTGCATTTTATGCAAGCACAACATCAATGTTGACTGCAAGGCGAGCATTACGCTTTTGTGGAATCGCTCGAGACTTCTCTGTCAGGCGTTAGCTTTGCAATATAAGCTGTGGAACTGCAATTGTGAAGTTACCGAGCCAGCTCGTGTCCTCTTACACTGGCAAGATGTACAAGAAGCACATCACCGGCGTCTGAGAGAAGCAGCAACGGCGGGTCAAGACGGAGATCTTCAAAGCTCGCAAATGCGGTAAATAAGCTCGGCATATCATAACGCATTGTACGCCAATCTTTTTCTTTCCTAAGACATACTGCAAAAACTGTATCTAAAATCAACAATTTGCTTCGAAAAGTTATGAAAACATTCGCTTGGGATCCAGATGTTGTTTGTTGCTCTCACTATTAATTCCTCCCCATCTGGTGTGTCCATTCAGTAGTTCTTCACTGAGCAAATTTTTTTTGAAAGATTCGGTAATGTGGAGAGGATCAAACGTCTGAAGGTCAAGTGAATGTTTGCTTTAATTGTCGCGCGAAGAGTCGATCTTAAACAAAGTTTCCGAGTTATCAGGGGTGGTACGACTGGTCACTGGAAATGGTAGGGTACTCATCACTTTCAAATAAAGTATGTTTGTCTCCATCAACTAAAGTGGGCCTCTGCATTGAGGACCGTCTCTCCTTGCAGAGTTGCAGATTTTTTTTTCCTTTTTTTTTGTGTGACAGGAAGTTTTAGGGGGAAACTTCAAACAAAAAAGCAAACAAAATAATCCAAGAGGGGTGGAGAAGTAGTGGTCGCGCTGCCATTTGCCGGGAGTGCACAAAGCAAGCTGTGAAATGCGACCCAGACTCGACAGGCTTTTTGGTCTTGAACTGCTTAACCGTTTTAAACAAGCTTAGCTCGTCAACATGGAGCCGTCCCCAAACCGTTCAGGACGACGCACTCGACTGTTTTAGACGAAACAGGCTCACTTATGGCTTAGCTTGAAACTTCGCCAACAGATGGCAGCACAAAATTTTTTACAATTTCGCTCTAATTTTGGTTGTGGCTACAAACATGATTTTGAAGGCAAGAAATGTAATTGTGAAGCAAAGAATTAAGCAGTTGACGGTCAGAAATCCCCCCAAAGCTTAAAACAGTTAACGAATAGTACAACTGACACCCATGATTAGTAGCCAAGGGGTTACCCGCATGTGTGGAAAGCCGGTTTTTCACGGCGCTCGTCGTAATCTGGACGGAATTGCCTGTGCCCATAGGTTTGATGTCCCATTACCTCAAGATGGCCAAAATCCTCAAGGACCCCAGGCCGTTCGATCCCTACAACCCAAGCCGGCCAAATCCCCACTGAGACACGGCATGGCTACCGCAGAGTTTCATTTCAAGAATAAAACTTGCAAGTAATTGTGATAGAGCACCTCATTTATTTTTATTGGGCAGTTCGTTTTGGTGCTTCCTGTATCAAGCAAAGCAGTCGTCCTCTTCGTTGTAGCCGACCAACGAATGCTCAATGTTCAGGTTTGCCAGCATGTTTCTCAGACTTGGCTTAGGCTCCGCCATTTGCTTTTGCAAGTCGGTCAGGGCGTCCTGAGCCGCCGAGCGCCACTGGGAAATCAGGTCCTCGATGGAGTTCTCACTGTTCTGTAAATGCAAGCAGGTATGATGAATGCTAAAAACCAACCAGAGAGTAAATTAAATATATGCCCCGCACTTCACTGCAGCAAACACAGTAGCTTGATAATATTTCTTACCATAATGTGCCTATTTGCTTTTCTCTCCAATGATTACATTTCTCTGTATGCATGTTATGAGGGGCCTTAAATCAACATTGACGGGTAAGTTACACACTTGCAATCTGTGTCTTGAAAAGTAGTTGGTTACTTATGTCTTAAAGCTGTTATCTGTGATCTCGTGGCTTTTCTAAAAGGACACCAAGAGGTTCGTATCAAATGTTCAAAAATGCAATAGACGCTCCTCTTCCAGGGCACTTTCTACCTTCGATAGCAATTCAGCGTCTCGCCAAGCTATGAAGAACTTTAGCAAGGATATTTTTGGCCTGTCACCTTTAAACATTGTGCCCTCCGAAGACTAGTCCATGCTTTTTTCATATGCCAGTTATGAAGGATGTTTCTTTTACTGTTGAGGAAGTCTTTGTCCATAGATATCATCTGTACATTTGGCCTCGATAAGCTTGTGCGGTATTCCCTCATTACGTGAAGGTAACCTACTAACAAAGCATTCCGACATTCTCAAGAGATGGAGGACATGACCTTCCCTGCAAATGGAGCACACGTGGCCTCTTGACCGGGAGACTAGCTGTACATGATACCACTTGGATTGGATTGGGAAACAATTAGAGTGTCACAAAGCTGTATATATCAGTGCACAAATTGCTACATAAAATGCATTAGAAATTTCAAAGCACATAGCAATAGGTGCTTTGATATAATTATGATATGATTTGAAATAGAATGACGACTTCGAGAGGATGACACAACGGGCGACGGCGGTGCCTCAATCTGAGCCCTGGGCCTCGGTGCCTCGGACGCAGCAGCTCTCTACTTTGACTGGGCTATTTCCTTCCAGCCTGATGCTTCGACCCCAGTGAGCAACAGCGCCACCATGCTCCTGGGGCTTTTTGTACTACATGCAACAATCGAACGGCGTGCCAGATCCCCACGGCTTGCTGCTGACCCGTCTCCAAAAAATCTGGACTTCTGCGAATTGGACTACCATTACCAGCAATCCGTCTCGTCGTCATCTTGCATGTATATACTCATCACGTTATCATGTTCATTAGACACGGCACCGTGGGCCTCCATGCTGCGGGCTACTTACTGTCTTTCCATGGTGCCGCGGCTCTCCAGAGCCAAATAAAAATTATTATTAATAGTACTTTAGCAAGAGAGACACAGTTTTTCAGACAACCTTTGTACAGTGTAATTGTGACGTGAGACCGGCTGATGTGACTGCACACCATTTATATTAAACCGAGAAAGAGCCCAGGCATATTCTGACCACAAGATGCTGACCAGGGCAGACCACAAATGTTAAAAAAAGAAATAAGGTTTGTTTTGAAACTTTCTGGATGATGCAAACGATGACAACGAAAAGTAAACCAGCAGCAGCTTCATGACAGTATCGAGATCCAGGAAAGCGTGTCTTAGGTGACTGCACAGTGTTGGGACCGAGGAATTCTCCAAGAAGGATCAGGCAGGGCCAGGCCACGACAGGAACCGAAGGAGGACTCCAAGCCGAAGAACGTCGCCAGTTGCCAGGTTCGAATTCCAACCAAAATGCTCACAATCTGACGGAGACTTATTGCAGGCAAGGCACCGCTAACCGACATTTCTGTTACTCTTCGAAAGATTCCCAGGTGGTTGAAATTAACCCTTAGTCCTCCGCTGGAGTGTGCCAGATTCTTTTGTTGGTTTGGCAGATGAAACTCTCAAATATAACATTTAATGCCTAAAGCCAAGTGGACTGGCACCTACATCAGCAGCAACATTCAGAAAGGGTTATCATGACTGCTGGCATCCAGACACGAGGGCGTGTGTTCCAAACGCTTCTTCCTCGCACAGACTCTGCAGATGATTCTTCCCGAACCCTTCCAATCGAGGGGTGACATTCTTAACGTCAAATAATCTTGGTAATCGCTCTTAAAACGGACATAATAGATATTGATACTTCTTTGCTCATCAATTAAGAGTGACTTAGTAGTAGTTGTTATTACTCTCTACCTCCAACCCCCCCTACCCCCCACTTAAAAAAAAAAAAAAAAAAGTGGGTGTTTGCAGGGGGTTCGGTATAGGCCTTCGACCTCTCCGCTGCACCTCCAGTCTCTCCTGGGCCGAAAATGAATGAAATAAAATGAGATTATAGTAGTCTGGGCTACTGCATTTACCTTTATCCGGTGCGTCTTCACCATGTGCAATTTTCTCAACAGTTCTTGCTTTTTCGAGATCTCTGCTTTCATCTCTGCGATAGCTTTTCGAAGGGAATGGGCATCAGAAGCAACCTGCAAACACGCAACGAAGAGTGGAACATGAAAAAGTAATTGTGTTAAGTGTACGGGCGTTTGGAGTCTCCGCTGAAGATGAGCAATTTAGCCAGCGAAATACGACTGCTAGCCCGGGTGCACGAACACACGCCGGCACGATGCTCATCCAGATTAGAGCACTATATAGCTCCTTCGGAGCAGAGTAGCGCAATCTAGAACGCCGTCTCTCGGCGACTAGCGGCGAACGCCCGGAGGTTCCAACTGCGGTCAGAAATGCATGGAGAACGTGAGAAAATCATTGTTTCTTCAGTATTGTGGGAATGTACGGAATGGCAATCATTTTTGACATAATAATGGAACATTTTAGAATAATTTTCGCTAAGTTTTGTGCCCCGCAAGGACCTGACTTTTTTTTAAAAAATTGCCTGAGCGGCATCATGCAGCAGACGACACGGAGACGTCACACCATTCACGTGACCCGCTCCGGCCAACCCGAAAAGCCCATCTCCGCTGCGAGCAAAAATCGTCTGCTTCAAACGCCATTGCCTTGGAAATTGCCTTCTCAAAATTTGCACACGCATCTGATATTATTAAAACTTTGATAAAATGTTTAGTGCTTTACTAACTTCACGACAGACTAGTTTTGAAAAGTGCGAACTTGCCGTTCATTTTTTAATCAGCCGTGTTGAGTCGATCTCCATGTATTCTCCCATAGGGCGGGCCGCCTCCTGGAACCCTGAGTACCACGTGACTCGCGCCGATCCGCTCTGTCGGCCATGCTGTCGGCAAAACACGGAGTTCAAAGGATTGCGCTACTCTGCCCCGTAGGAGCTATATAGTGCTCTAATCCAGATCAGATCCAGAACGACGCAGGCACGGGTGGGGTGGAACATGAACCTGAAATGCACTACCGGCACTACTGTGAAGAAATGTATACGGTACCGTCGGGTCACCCGAATTTGAGTGTTCTTCAGTCATTTCACCTATAAAATGAACAGACCCTTATTCGTACGTGTTCATTTCAACCTTTAGCAGGAATACAACCGATTCAACCTTCGTGCCCACTCCATGGATGTGGAATGTGGCCAACATGGATTGGCCACATTCCACAAGACAACGGCTAATCCAGTTAACTAAAAGCCGCTCAAGTCATTAGAAGCCAAGACAAGGCGCACAACTGGTCGACGCCGGGCCGGCCGGGCTAGATTTTGCTGCGAGAGTCGCGATCAAACACCTTCAAGCTACCAATTCCAAGACTCGGCGATGAACACTGTTCGCAAGCAAAAGCAGAAATGGAGGGGACGCCTGAGCAAACAAAAGCGTCTTCAAATCGTTCGAATGCACTGCGAAGGCCGTACACGGGCGCAAATCCGTCGAACCATACGTTGCAGTGACGATACCGTCAAGCGGATAATAGACCTCTACAGGCTCTACAAGGACGTGGAGGACAGGCCTCGAGCACCGCATATGGGTCCGCGAAAGCTTAAAGCCCTGCAAGAAGAGTTGCTGATCGTCGCAGCCATCGTAGATGAGCCTTTTCTCACCCTCCGCGAACTCAAGAAGGAACTAAATCTATCTGTGACCAAGAACACGGTCCTCAGGCGGCTAAAGCAGCACGGTTTGATATGCCTGAACAACAGTACCTGCCGGAACTTGACCGGCTGGATGAAAAGTGCACGATTGGCGTTCGCGCGCGTGCATCTTACTTGGACCGCAAAGCAGTGGCAGAAGGTCGTGTTCACCAATGAATCGACGATCTGCTGCAAGTGGGACTCCAACAAGGGGTCCTGGAGAGGACTGCACATCTGGTACGGTGCAGCGAGACTCCGTCGCGAGACGCGATTGGTGGACAAGGGGGATACTTTGGCGCGATTGCTTGGCAAGTAAGGTAGCGCTAAATGATCCCCTTTACTGGCCACAGAAATCTTGAAAATTAATTATTTTCATTAATTATTTTCATCCTAATTCTTTTGACATCAAAACCATAGTAAAAAGAAGTTCGGCTCTTGATGGTGTTCAAATTTGGTGCCATCTCCCGACAGGCGCGGCGGGCAGACGACAGAGTGCGTCATCTGCTCGGAAGTTGGCCCAGTCTTGGACTGTTAGTCTTTCTATTTGGCGGTTAGAACTAAGGGGTGTTATCCGTTTAAAAATGTCAGTGGCGAACAAGCTTCTGTCTCGAGTATCCTCCGCTGAATGTCTACAACCATTGTAACAGGTAGCTTCTTTCATGCATTCCAGGAACGACCCTGTATACATCCGTCAGCTGAAGGCAAGTGGCTGCACTTGCATCAACGTGCTTGCTGTTGTGACCTACGATGGCCTTGGACCCCTCATCCGGTCCGACGAAAGCATCACGCCAGAACAATACGTGGACATCCTCAACCGGACCCTCATACCATACTTCCTAGATGGTCCATTTCCCGACCGCGGATTCTTTCTACAGCACGACTTCAGCCCTACGTACACTTCGGACGAGGTCCTCAAGTGCATCGAAGCGAACAGAGTCCATGAGCTGAAGTGGCCTCCGAAGAGCGAGGATCTCAATCCAATCCTTAGCATCTGGAGTTCCATGAAGCAACGGATCTGTAGGCACCGGCTTGATGAGCCATGCCCCGACAAACTCTGGGAAGTCGTCAAGAAACATTGGGATCTGATGACCAAGCATAAAAATATTGTTGCAAAGTTGTACTCGTCCATTCCGAACAGGCTTCGAGACGCCGTTGCACGCGAGGGAGGAGCCCTGGTACATGGCTTTACTTAGTAAAACCTATTCCAGATGGCTCAGACATTAATTAATTTCCTTAGTGTCACTGTCTCATAAGTTTAAAGTGCTACAGAGTTATGACCAAAAACAAGCATACTTTATAATCATCAGGTATTTGTGGTCATTTGTAAGACTTCCCTGCAGCTATAAAATGCAGTACTTCTCGTCATAAATAAACTTAGCTGTCCTTATTTTATTTTTTTAAAGATAGTTATTTAGACTGCTCTTGGATTAAAGTGCACTACTTTGGTTTGAGAGAGAGTGCATTGTGTATCCATTACAAGTAAGCTTTTGTTGTGGCTTCACAACAACTGTGTTGTGAAGCCACAACACAAGGTTTATGACATCTCCAAGGAGTGATGGATTGGTGCTGTAGCACATCTGCATGCATGTGAATTTCGTTATATGTGTTGTGTGACATGACACAAGATTGACCGCCTGGAATGTGATGTTTCCGGAAGCAAGTCTCAAGATGTGTTGTCATTAGTTCTAAACTACACCCATCTTCAGTAATAAAATATGATTTGGGTACACATATCGAACAGTGAGTCTATGTTAAAGTAGTGCTGTAAAGGTATGTTTGGATGAAACACTTACAAACAGTCTGATTTTGCGTTCATTGTCTGTAGTAGTGAATGGCCTTTCAGAAGAGTTGGTGTTTTGTATGATACTAATTTTTGCAAGAGAAAAAATGAGCACTGATAAAGCAATGAAACCTGACAGGTGATAATCCTCATGTAAAGCCAGTTGTGTTATATTGATTTATTAACAGTATAGCTCAATAATGTGCACAAGTTGCCATTACATCATTTAAAAATACCGCTGAGAAGTTAGATTGAGAAAAAGTGGCAGTTTTATTATTTCAGTGGCACCAATTTTCAGGGCAGTAACCAAAGCAAACACTTATGATCACCAATTTGTCCAACTAATATGCTTTGCTCATTGGAGTTGTGAGGAACACCATAGAGAAGCTGAAACCCTAGGAAACATTAAGTGATGCAACAGCTGAAGTCGCCTTCGGGGAGATCTCGGAGTTGTAAGAACCATATTGGCACTTTGCACCAATAATGCACAAATTGAGTGGACTACATACAATAACTAAAGTTCTGGAAAACTGCCTGGGACAGTTTTGCAGAACCTGGTAACAAGCCGAACAAACTTGGTACATAAAAATATATATATATATTTTTTAATTACTAGTTACCTAGGTTTGAGCGCTCTCTGACGCACTTTTGGCGCCGTTTCATCGGCTCATGGCGTCAGCTGTGGTCCCGGAGATAACAAAACCTGCGAAGACAGCGCGCTCTCTGACGACGCACTTTTGGCGCCGTTTCATTGGTACCTTTCGTTTTGGTACCTTTGTGTCGCCGACATGTTTTCGCACTTTTCGTGTCGCGGACATGTTTTCACTCAAGGACTTTGAAGGTCGACTGAACGATGAGACATATGAGGCTTTCGCCTTCACAAAAGCCTCATAGCGCCGGTTGCATAAGCTCCGTTCGCGCATCATAGTGCGCGTAAGCTCGTAAGTGCCGGTAGTTGGGGCTGACGTCCTTGAGGTCTTCCTCCACAATCCTACTCCCCATTTTTTTTTCTAATAAATTGCGTTCTAGTCTAATCTAACCTAGTAGTCGTTCTTGGCGTCGTCTTCGATGTGTGCACGGCCCATTACAACCATCTAATCCCCATACCATTAACTTTCCAAATTATTTTCACTAACGACATTCCTATAAAGCAACCGCATTTCATCGCATTTGATCTAATGAACGTGCCTGTAATTTCTTCTGATAGCTCAGGCTGTTTATCTGTGAGATCGCACGGTCACCAACCAGGTTCAAACGTTGAATAAGTGCAAAAGAGAACTGAAAATCGCAGAAAAATTTGAACCGCGTGCACGAAAATAGTTCCACGCTATTTACTGAAACCCGAACCACAAATGGGAATTTACCGTGTGGCCATCGCGAATATGCTTTCAATTAAACTATATTTGTGAATTAGGTGGAGTAAATACTCTCGTTTTTCGAAATTAGCATACAATTTTCGCATGTTCCGAAGTCCGCGCGATTTACGGTTTTCGCCCAAAACGAAACCGAAACTAACGTCTGCAGAGCACACGAGCCAAGCGAGCTTCAATCCAAAATCGAAGGCGCAACGTTGAGCCGAGGCGAGCGATGTCGGCAATATTTGCAGGACGTCCGTAGACGCATTCAAACGCGATAGGCCGCGAAGTGGCGAAGTCGTCGAAAGAGATGGGTCGCTTGAACATAGAACAGCGGCTACAAGTCCTGCGACTGAAGAAGGAAGGTCGCACTCACGCCCACATTAAGCGAAAGCTACGCTGCTCGCTTGGCACGGTCCGTCGAGTCCTGAAAAACTACCGCCTGCAGAAGAACGTCAACGACCAGCCCCGAAAGCCGGCCCCTTCGAAAACCGTAGACCAAGACATGCAGATCATCGCAGCCATCGTGGACGAACCTTTCCTCACCCTGAAAGAACTCAAGCGAGAGCTCGGACTCACCCTGAGCGTGAGCACCATCGCCAAGCGGCTAAAGAATCTCGGACTAATTAGTCTCAACAACAGTTCCAACCGCGCTCTGACAGACTGTATGAAAGACGCGAGGTTGTCGTTCGCGCGAGCACACGCCTCCTGGACCGCGGACCGGTGGCGGAGCGTAGTGTTCACCAACGAGTCCACCATCTGCTGCAAGTGGGACCCAAACAAGAGCTCCTGGAAGGCCGTGCACATCTGGTACGATGTAACTGAAGAGTAGCGCTATTCCCTTTCGCCCTGCGTCTCTCCCCCTAGCGGCATTACGCCATTTTTGAGCGAAGCGCACGTGATGTCACTCACCTGACGCCTTGATGAGGCCCCCCGGTGCTTGCTTTCGTCTCCCTCAACCAGCTTCTCTCCCCGGCCGCCAGACTTGGCCCGACGCTATTTTTGGGCGAAAGCGCCGGCAACCCGGCAAGGAGGAATACTTTGAACAACGAATCACGTTACTTCTATATGTATACAGGGGCTTCAGTACGATCAACGTTGTTAGATTAGCCCAGTTACGGAATTGCTCATAGACGCTGGATGCATGAGCAGTAACCCCCCCCCCCCCCCCCTTCATTCACTCACTCACCACAACTCTCCCCCGTCGTTCGACACACCGGACGACTGCCTTGGTAACTGCAGTGTATTCTATGGGATACATATGGTTTCGAAGCGCAGCGTCTAGATGGCGTTCCACCGTACTCTATGGAACACACAGTTTGTAAACGAAAATCTAAATCAGGGGTGGCCAGGCTGACCCGGCCTTAAAGCCGCAAACAGAACCATGAAACTT